CTACAGGAATGAAGTAAGATGCTCAACTAACATTTTGAAGAATGGAATCTTTTGGGAGCTCTATTCTTTTTTTTTTTTCTTTCTTAAGACCTACGTTAAAAAAAAACTAACTTATGTAGACAGGTGTTTTGCCTGATGTATGTCCATACCACATGCATGTCCAGTGCCCAAAGAGACCAGAACAACGTCAGATCCCTGGAACTGGAGTTACGGGCAGGTAGTTGTGCGCTGCTATGTGGATGCTAGGAATTAAACCTGGGTTCTCTGGAAGAGCAGCCTGAGCTCTCAACCACTGAGCCATCTCTTCAGCTTGTGTTTTTAGACTGGTTTTGAACTTGGGCAATCTTATTGCCTCAGCCTTTCGTGCTGCTAGACCTATAGGCTTGTCCACCATCCTTCTTGCTCCTGGCCCTGGCCGCTCTCTTTAGAGCTGCTCACCTCTCGTCTGCCTTTTGTCTCAGTTCAGGAGGCAGCAGCCATCATTCTTTTGCTGCTGCTGTTTCTACCTTTGTGAATGGCTAGGTTTGAAGCCCTGCCTGTTCGGCAGCTGTCAATGCAGCCAGCTGTTCTACCACTTTCGGAGTTTGACACACGAAGCTCAGTTCTGCTTCTTCTTTAGCTGTCAATGCAGCAGACAGGACAGTGGACATCAGGAGTGCTTAAGTTTAAACTTCAGGATTTTAAGTTAACGCTAATTAATGCTAATAATTAAGCATGCTTTAGGAAAGTTTAATGAAGGCCCAGTGTTTCAGAGTGTGGTGTGTCTTCCCGAGGTCTACTTCTATTGACCCCCGAAAGAGAGAATGACAGTCAAGAAAAAATTATCCAAGTCCAGCTTGATAAACAGGTTTTATTGGGGTGATTTGGGCAGCTGCCACATCCAAAACTCCAAGATTCCAGTGTATGTGAAAATTTTTTTCTTTCTTTTTGGTTTGAGAAAGGGTTTCTCTGTGTAGCCCTGGTTATCCCGGAACTGTGTAGACCAGGCAGGCTGGCCTCGAACTCAGAGATCTTCCTGCCCTTGCCTCCTGAGTGTTGGGATTAATAGTGTACTGTATCATGCCCAGCCAGGAGAGGACTACCATCCCTGGAGTTCTATATACAACCTGTAGACAGATATTCCACTCCTCTCCCGTAAGCTTGTTTATTGCTTATAACCTCAGAGAGGATCATGAGAAATTCTTTCTTCCAAGAAGGGATGATCCAATCTAAATAAAACAGGAAGAGGTAGGGTCCCATACTGTGTTTGATGGGTGTATAGAGGCAACCCCCTTGTTTTAAATGTCCATTTCGGTAGCCTAAAGTTAGGCCATATTTTAAAATCATTTGCTCATAGAAGTCAAAAAATCCCTTGGAACTAGAGTTAAGGTTGGCTCCAAGCCAACCTAAACCAGGTCCTCTCCAAGAAGAGATGTCCGTAACCTCTGAGCTCTCTAACCCCTTCTACAAAAAGAGGGTCTCACTAAGGCTGCCCGGTCTAGTCTTAAGCTTTTGTTTTTCCCGCCTCGACTTCCTATATAGTTGGGATGTTATGCTTGTACTACCTGTCCTGGCCTTGAGAAGGCTTCAGCAAATTATTATCATTATTATCACTAGGAATTGAACTCAGGACCTCTGAAAGGGCAGCCAGTGCTCTTAACCCTGAGTCATCTCTACAGCCCCTTCAGTAAATTCTTAACCTAAATTAGACCCTAGCACTCTTTACAGCATCCTGTATTGCACTGACAGACTAAAAGCTACCACTGATGTTATTGTTGACAGCAGTCTCTGGGTTAGAGACAGCATTAGTTCTGCTTACCACAGCATGCCCCCTTCTAACACAAGTTCTGGTCCAAAGAGAAACACATACCTGTAATCACCTAAATTGTCCTTCAGTGACTCATGCAGACAAGGAATGCCTGGTAACCTTTCCAGATGGGGGGTGGGGGGTGGGTGAGGCTAGCATTAACAAGACTCTGGGTTCAAGCCTTAGTTCCACAAAACAAGGAAATCCCATAATGGACACTTTTCCTTTTGCACACAGGCACCAGAGACAGGAATGTTGGTGTGCGCTGGTGTAGAAAATGAGCATTTCACCAAAACATGCCACTAAGGAACATGCTCAAGTACAGACCATCCTTTTAATCCACATGTTAAAAGACCAACCTGAGAAAGTCTATACTCAGTAGACATCTTAAGCAACCAAGATATTATAAACATGAGGACAAGAAATAATCATGGTATCCTTAAAACATTGAGTAGTTCCTGATTTTATTTATTTTCCCAGACTTTTATTTTTTGAGAGGTCTTGCTGTGTACCAAGTTGGCCTTTTACAGTGATCCTCCTTCCTCTGCCTCTCAAATACTGGGATTGTAGGTATGTACAGTCAGGACTGGTGCAGTTTCAGGTGTGTCTGCTGTATTATATTTCAAAATATGCCATATTCTTCTGAAAATTAAAAATAAACTCAAACCTTCCAGTTTAACTTATCTGCAGTTTTCTTTTTTTTAATTATTTATTTATCATGTATACAATATTCTGTCTGTGTGTATGTCTGCAGGCCAGCAGAGGGTGCCAGACCCCATTACAGATGGTTGTGAGCCACCATGTGGTTGCTGGGAATTGAACTTGGGTCCTTTGGAAGAGCAGGCAATGCTCTTAACCTCTGAGCCATCTCTCCAGCCCATATCTGCAGTTTTCTTAGCATATGTGAGGACTTCAACGCAGACCATCTCTTGGCATAAACAGAATTTGTATTTCTCTAGTAGACTAAAATGATACATTAACTCCAAGCAAACCCCTCTAAATTCTGAACCTATTTTTACCCTTAGCATTACTTTTTTGTTTGTTTTTGTAGTTTATTCTTTAGACAGGATGTATTTCAGGTTAGTCTCAAATTCTAGCTCTTCCTAAATGCTGGGATTAGAGGCCACCACACCCATCCTTTTGGAATTGCTCAACAACTTGTTTTTGTTTTGTTGAGTTGGGTTTCTCTGTGTAACCACCCTGGCTGCCCTAGAACTTGCTCTGTAGACCAGGCTGGCCTGCCTATCTTTGCCTCCTGAATGCTGGGATTAATGGCGTGCACCACGACTGCCCAGCTCAACAATTTATTTATCTAGCTTTTAGACCTCTTATAGTTTACAATGGGATGTTTTATTTCTCTTTATTTCTTTTCTCTCTCTCACTCCTTTTTTTTTTGAAAGTGTTACACACCATGTACCCTTGGTCACCCTGGAACTCACTATGTACACCAGGCTAGCCTCAATCTCATAGAGATCCACTTTTATCTGCCTCCCAAGTGTTGTGATTAAAGGTATACACCAACACGTCTAGCTACAGTGGGACCCTCCCAGACGGTCATCTCTCATCAGCAGCTAACAACATGGGATGTATTACTGATGTAGGTAATCCAACTAGATACCAGGAGGAACATGACAAAAAGTAAATTGAACAGAATAAAACAGACCACCATACTTGCTTTGTGGCTGATCTGACCTATGCTCTGGCCATTACTCTGAAGAAAGGTGAGGCACCCTTCCGGGACCAGTGATGCACTTGACTATTCTCAAAGTATAAACTGAGAGGTCCAGGCCCCTACAGATTCAGTGAGTCTGTAGCCCTAGCACAACCCCCAAGTGGCCTGGCTCCGGATTCAGAGCCAGGGAAAGAAACACCCTGAAAATGGGACCAGAGTCAGGGGAAGAGGCTCTTTGCTCCCAAACCTAGAGGTGGAGAAAAGTCCTCGGACCCTGAAACCAGGACCAAAAGAATGTACTAAGCCTCTAGATTCAGGCATACCAAAGATATTTGCCCTGGTCCCAAAATTACAGTCAAAAAGGGTAAAAAGAACCAAAGAAAGAAACAGTTTGGCCCCAGAATCAGAGCCATCTCTGCCTGACACAAAACCAGTCAATCCCTGAGCAGGGAAAGGAGATCAATCACTGAGCTCCTAGAGGCTTAGCATTCCTCCCTCAAACCTGGAAAATCCCTTTAAACCATAGCGGGCAGCCAATCCCAAACTTGGAAGTCTGGTATTCCCTTCACCCCACTCAGAGGCAGCCAATCCCAATGGAATTCCCCAAGCTTCTTTCCCTATGTAAACTCCCTCTTTCTCTTGCTTGGGGTTTCTCCTTCACTGTTTCTCTTGCTACTTTGGACTGACAGAGGGACCCGAGTTAACTTACAATACTCTGTTTTTGTATCAGATATAGCCTGTGGTGATGTTTTGGGGATCCAGACATTGGACGTAACATAAATGAGATGCCACACTTTTTTTTTGGAAACTAAATACATTTTAATAGAAAACAAAATACAAAATAACTCTTTTCAGAAAACAGAAATATTTAATCCTGTCCACACCATCAGAACTTCCTCTGTCCTTAGAGCATGGTTTGACGCTTGTGAGTGTGCACTCATGATTCGCTCCGGTTCACTGAACTGGTGCTGCAGTGAGGGCGGAAGCAGATCAGAGGGAGAAAGACACCAGAAAGTCACACCCCAGAGTAAGCAGTCATCAGTACTCTGAAGTCTATCCCGTGACTTACTCAAAATTACTCTTTATCATAATTTTGTTCATGGTGCTAGGGATGGCACCTTGGACAACCGACTCAAGAGCCGAGGCCCACCCTCTGCCCACCACAGCATCTCTCCAGGGGAGAGGAGGACTGACAGGAGTGCAGGCAATAAAGAATCTTTCTTTCCCACCATGTTTGGCTAAGCACATTATACGGTGCCCCTTTTCCTGATACACTGGGCTACCAAAGTATGAATTCCCTGAACCTCAAAATTCCAAGTATCACAGCCAGTGCCAGGAGTCAAACCTGCAGAGACACCTCTGCCAGTGCCAGGTTTCCTCTTCTCAATAATAATTATTAATTATAATAATAATAAAAAAGTCCTGGTTCTATCAGTATGGAAAAGAAAGACTGCTAGTTCATCCCTTCTTTTCCTAGTTCCTGTTCCCGTTATCCTTGAGAAGCCACAGGAGACACTGTCTACAGCTGCTACAGGGAAGCCTGAGCATCCAGCTCTCAACTGGAGTCTTGTGCACCAGGGCTGTGTTGGCTAAGTGTGTGGTAGGCGAGGGCTCTTTTGAAATCACTGATTCAGTTTTAGCAAGTCCTGGACTGTGACCAGTCCCAGCCCCACCCAGTCTGCTGCCTGAATAAAAACTTAATGTTCTTGATTCTCTTGTGTGATTCCAGTCACCAGGAGGAGGTTGCAGGCCATGAACTGTACACTCAGGACGTTGCTCATCTGTCCAGTGTACACGCCCACAAGCTCACCCGAAGAGCCATCAGCAGGTGTGTTGCAGGATGTGCTTCTGATGTCCCAGACACGCACAGAGTTGTCCATGGAGGCAGAGGCAACCAGACCACTGTCTGGACTAAAGGCCAGACTGGTGATACTGTCTGTGTGGCCTCTCAGTTCTTTAAAAAGTGTCCCAGAGGCCAAGTCCCACAGCTTTAACCGCTGGTCCTCACCAGCTGACGCCAAGTACTTACCGTTGGGAGAGAAGGAAAGGGCGAGCACGGGACCTCGGTGCCCTGTGAAGAGCCGCACTGAGTTGCCCTGTTGGGCACTCCACAGCCGGACAGTTTTGTCAGTGGAACCTGTAGCCAAGTAGTTTGAGTTGGGGTGGAATTTGACACAGTCCACATCAGCCAGGTGTCCTGCATATATCCTCAGCGGGTACGTCCGATCAAAGGACCAGAGCCTGGCGGTGCGGTCATGGGACCCACTGGCAAAATACAGGCTGTAGGGGCTGATGTCCACGTCCCACACAGGGTAGGCATGTCCCTGATAGAGCACAGTGTTGGTGAAGCTCCCCAGGTCCCAGTACCTGATGGACATATCTTCAGAACAAGAGAGCAGCCCCGAGTTGTCTGCGAGGAACCGTGTGCTATATACTGGGCCACAGTGTCCACGCAGGATCTTCATCTCTGTGCCTGTATTGTCTTCCTCATTCTCCTGGAACATGGTGGGTAGGGTGGTAAAACACACAAGAAAATATTTAGTGGCCAGGCGATGGTGGCGCACGCCTTTAATCCCAGCACTCGGGAGGCAGAGGCAGGCGGATCTCTGTGAGTTCGAGACCAGCCTGGTCTACAGAGCTAGTTCCAGGACAGGCTCCAAAGCCACAGAGAAACCCTGTCTCGAAAAACCAAAAAATAAAAAAATAAAAAAAAAGAAAATATTTAGTGGTTTCACAATGAATATAAGCCTGAGAGAGGAAAAGGGCCTGCCTAGGAAGCAGTATCTGTCATAGAGGGCATGTCTGCCCTTCATGGTCACTCCAGCTGACAATGCCCAACCACAGGTCACACCAGATTGAAGAAATTACTTTTTGTGAGTCTTAATTTTTGAATGAGGATCTGACTTAAAAGCAAGCCCATGGAACATCCCCTATTAATTCTGATGGGTATCTTTCGAAAAAACTGACTTCTGAATTGATATTAAGTTCCTAGATTCTCCCTAATGGAGCTCACTTTAGCCGTCAGTTCTTACTACTTTGCAAGTCAAGTTATTCGCTGTTTCTATTCCATGTAATGAAACCTAGACATGCCCGGCAGTATACATCTAATCACAGTACCGAGAAAGTAAGGCAGGCAGATCCTGAGATCAAGATCAGTTGAGACAAAACGAGAGCCTGCTTTGGAGGAATCTGAAGGACTTGAGCCAAAATAAAACCTAACTGCATAGGAACTGTAAAGCAGAGTACACAGCCTCTAAGAGACTGTGAACACTGATACATGAAAGCTGGACATGGTAACCTATTATGCAATGCCAGTGTTTAGGACGACCATCAAGATTTTGATATTAGAGACTGGGGGTAGGGGGCAAAAAAACAAAGGAAAAGAAAGAACAGGAAGGTGGAGAGCCTCAAACACGTCTCCTAAAGTAACAAACCATAGACTGAGAATGACAGCAAGGCATGGTGGTGTACAGCTTTGATTCCAGCATTTAGGAGGCAGACACATTTCTGAGTTTGAGGATAGCCCAGTCTCCATAGAGAGCGAGAGAGTAAGGAGGGGGGAGGCTTAAAACAGAGCCAAGTGACTCATATCACCCTTGGAAATATTTCCCCCCATGAAAATAGAAGACACTTGGAGATAAGTGTGCTTCCACAGCCCTTGCCCACAAGGCTGCAGCCTATGTATAAATCCATTTTCCCTCCACTCCCTCAGAGGGAAGCTCCTGAATACTATGGTTGTGATTTTCCAATACAAGGGGTTTTAAACTAGAAGACAATCGGGATTCTTAAGCACTCAGCTTTGCTGGTTCCTGCACAGGGAAAGAAGACCTTTTTAGTAGGCATTGCTTCTTCCACTAAAAAACTACTAAGGAAAAGCAAACGACTACTTCCCATTTGCATGAAACTTGAGGAAGTTAAACACTGGTATCTGTAATTACTCAAAATGGCTACTACATACACTTCAGGCTAGAAAATGCAAAAGCTTTTGGGTGTTCAAGAGAAGCTGATCATGGAGGCTGTCTCTCTCAGCCCAAGTTTTTACACAGTAGTGACTCTAAAGATTGAAACACAGGCCACTGTGTTTGCAATTTCATGGCCACCCTAGACTAGCCACTCCACCTGACAGCAGGCTGCTGTACGGACGGAGGAGACATCACAGTTCTACAACACATGTCCCCTTTCAAAGTGGGGCTGAGACCACTCTTGGCACACAGAGCTAGGACAGGTGCTGGCATCACCAGTGTATATTATGTTGGGCAAGCTGTAAAACAGCCTAGATTTCTGCAGGGGAAGACAATATTCACTACTGTTTAAATGTAGACCCTTAACTAGCAATCCTGTTCCTATTGGAACCTGCACATCTGAGTGCAAAGAACAACAAACAAGTAACGCGACCCCAAAGTCAATTTCAGCTGACGATCTGTTAGGCTCAACGCTTTTCAGACAGTGGTAAACACTGCCTACTCATATAATGGTGAGTGTTGGGAGAAGGGCTTTAATGTACATTTTTCAGGCATGAGCAAGATCAATGGCTAAGTCATCTGGCATGAGTCCAGCTCTGGTTGCCTAGGAGGGGACTACCGAGTACTGTTTGGTGAAAATAGGTCAGGTTTAAGAAGAGCACTCTAACAGGAAAGAGCTACAAGAAAGGGTAAGTGGCACCCCTACCTCCTCCTCCAAAGTGTCACAGGCTAGACGGATACGAGATGTGTCCACAAGGTGGGGCTCTGATTTCAGCTTTTTGGACCGCAAGCTCCAGAGCTTTATGCAGGAATTGTCAAATCCAGCAGCCAGAAGTTTGCTATCAGAGGAGATCTCTGCAGTATTCAGCAGCTGCTCTGTGTTATAGAAGGCATAGAAGCAGATGGTGGTGAGGGAAGGAGGTCCATCCTTGACTCGCTTGATACTTTCCTGCAAGACTTCCAGGGCAGCCTCATTCTGCAGAATAGGGTTGGGCACATCTGGTGGTTCCAGGCTGCTGCTCTCACTGCGCGAGGAGCCACCACTGGCATACAGCTGGTAGTCTGTCCTCTTGGCAGGCTGCACGTCCAGGTGAATGTGCACGGCAAGCACCTTGCACAGGGCAGTGTTGTTATCGCTTTGGAGGTAGCGGATAAGGTAGTTGTAGCTATCTTCCTGGAGACGGACCACGTACTTATTGTCCAGGAATGCACGAAGTTGGAAGTTTGACAGAATGTCCTGGATGGTCTGTGTGGTTTGCAGCTGCTCAATGATGTCCTTCTGGCTTGCATTTTGTAGGAACATTCCATGGAAGCGGCTATAGAAGCTTTCCACTGTGCTTTTGGGGCCACTCTGGACCAGGTTGAGGTGGAGGTAGACAAAAAGGGGGTAGAGGAGAGGCATAACTTCATGACTGTGCTGGGAATCAGAATCTGCAATGAGAAACAGCAAAAAAACTGACACCCATTAACACTGGAGAAACAAGATGCCCCCCTAGAGCCAGTAACCCAACACTTCCTGCCCATAGACTCTAGAGTCTCAAAGACTTCCCAATCAAACAAGGAAGAGCAGACTCTGAGGTTCAGTCACTGTTGGGGGATTTGGCCATGCCTTGGGCAGCTGTGACCAGACCTACAGTCCAGCATCTTTCCCAGTATTTCTCAGGTCAGAAACCCACGCCTGTGAGGGTCCTTAGATGGGTTTTAGGCAGACTGTGTTCTTCACAAAGACTTTATCTTGATAGGCTTCAAGTTAGAACTAAGTATGTTCAAAATCTTCCAAGTGGCAAGCCGGGGTGGTGATGCATGCCTTAAATTCCAACACTTGGAAGGCAGGTGGGTCTCTGTGTCTGAGGCCAACCTGACATATATAGTGAGCTCCAGACTGCTCAGGGACGCAGAGTAAAAAAGACTGTCTCAAAAAAATCTTTTGAATGCCACTTAGCCTTGGTTCTATGAGTACTGTAGTCAAGGGTAAAATCAAAGCTCATTGGCTATCCAGGTTGATTTGTCCTGTGTGATGATGACAATATGCATTTAAAGCTTTGACTTCCTTGGTGAAAAATATAAAACTTTCCTTTCTTGGTGATAAATTACAAGTAAGATATTTTCTTGTCATTGAGAACACTCATTAGTCTGAAATTTTAATGTCATGAAACTCGATAATGATAAAGAATGCTAAGCCAGGCTTTAACTGTCACGGGAAAAGAGGTGCATGTGGACTAAGTATGTGTGCAAGTGAGAACAGAATGTCTAAGGGAAGGGCTCTGCAGATACAGTGAGGAGCAGAGGGCAGCCACCTCAAAGCACAAGTACCATACAACCAAGCCATGCCCAACTCGCTCAGAGCCACAGCAGTGTCTAGACACCTGAGGGCAAAAGTTAGCCTTAGCAAAAGCCACCATTAACTTGAACTTTACTGCTTTTTGGGTTTTGCTTGTCTTTAACTGTAATGAGTTTGGATTTTATACAGAAACAGAAAGGTTTCCAATTTAGTGTAATGTTTGTTCATGTTGAAGTAAATTGAATAAAACGTAACCTAGTACTTATGCTCTGTTAGCCTATTTTTTAAAAACCATGAGCTATTCCACAGAGGGATCTAGATAAACACTAGATGCGACCACGAAAATGTGCACTAGCACAAACTCCAACAACCCAACGCAATGTAAGGCTTCACTGAAAAAGTAGCCCAGGCTGTAATAAAATTATTAAAAAACTATTTTATACCTTCATGACTAAAAACTACATATTATTACTGGGTCATCCTAGAATCATCTATCATTGAGCAGACCAAAACCAGAACGGGAGCGCACAAGAGCCCCATCCATGAAAACATTCCACGTGTGTGGCTTTCTCACCGGTCAGGATATTCTGCAAAGACAGCACATGTGTCGGATCTCACACCACTGCCTCGCTAGGACTCCATCTAAATACAAGCTGAATGAATGAGAGGCAGGCTGGAAGAAGTCCCTCACTGTAACGGTAAGAAAACTCTACCATAGAGCAGCAGATATAACCATTTAAAAGTGAATAAACCAAAGCTAGTTAGGAACAACCTTTATTATCTCCACATACTTTTTACTACAAATATAACCCTTATCGGGCTGGAGAGATGGCTCAGTGATTAAGAGCATTGCCTGCTCTTCCAAAGGTCCCGAATTCAATTCCCAGCAACCACATGGTGGCTCACAACCATCTGGAATGAGGTCTGGTGCCCTCTTCTGGCCTTCAGGCATACACCCAGACAGAATATTGTATACATAATTAATAAATAAATATTTTTTTTAAAG